TGGCTGGCCGACCGGTCAAACCGGCCAGACTGGCGCAGGCCGACCACCGAAGGCGGCCAACATAGGCTCGGCCGAAAAGTACGGCCGGCCGGTCCATGATCGGCCGCGATCGCCGTTCGGTCGGCACCAGTTCGTCCGGTTTAACCGGTCGGCCGCCGCAACAGTGGTCTTGTTGGAAAGTATTTTTGCGCCGGAATTATTCAGAGGTGTTTTCGGAATTTTTCGGGGCTCGGTTCGACCGGTAAGTGATTCTGAAGAGGGGACATCTTTTTTTAAAAAAACAAAAAAAACAAATAAAGGGCAAAATCGTCTTTTAGGGGTGCGGTACGTAGTAAAAAAGGTGCGGTATTTAGCAATTCAGTTAGAATTTCGACAAAAGAAAATGACAAGAAAAACGAATGATGTAACCCCCACAACATGGCGCTTCTGAACTGTGAGGTATCTGTTTAAAAAAAAAAAAAAATCAACCCACAACATCAGAGATTGTTTTTCAATCTATTATTAGCAACAAAGCTGATACAGAACTGTATATCACAATTCACAACATTCTGAAGTTTGTATATCAACATCGTCGACAAAACTTTGTACTTGTTCACAAATACAGAGACGGATACAATCATATTCATTAAAAACGGGAACACGGTAATTTCATTGCAAAAGCTCTACAAGTAAAGCATAAACGATGAGTAGAGAATCGAGCACCGCTAAAATCAACCTTTTAAGATACAGCAACAATAGGCCAACAGACAGACAACATTTATAAGTACTCCAGTAGATCTTGTTCCCTTTGCAAATCCCATACGATTATCTTGCCATCCAATCCTGTAATAAGAAGGGCAAAATAAAGTCACAAGTAGCTTCAAATTAGTGGGTTTAAAATACTTGAGTTTGCTTTGTGTTATTTCAACCTGAGGTGCTGAAGCTGGTGATTGTAGTATCTCCCACATCCTTGAGGGCCACGATAGAACTAAATTTTGGAAGTTGAAAACAAGACAGCCATCACGATCTAAATCATGAGAGGAGGGATAATTGTGGGAAACTAAAGCGAAGATAGCAAGGACATACGTGATACAGTTGTCGTGTTTTCTTGAGTTTTCACTACTCTCGTCATTGCTTCCGTTTTTCGACTGACTGTAGAATTTTCCAAATGTTCCAGAACGCTGGAGAAAAGGAAAATAAAAATTGAAGATTGAAATATGTGGCATGCAGATCAAACAATTCACGCATTTTTTAGATGATCAGAACATGAAAAAAAAAAAGAAAAAAAAAAGCTGACATTGATTATTAGGCTGCATATTCCCCAAGTCATTAATCAAAGGATGATTTCATGTTGTCCCAAAAATACAACCAGCCTTTACCTGTGAGCCATATTTTGCACCTGGAGTTTGTTCACCGTCATCAAGAAACTTCAAGAAGCTCCTACAGGTTATTTAAAGGAAAAAACAAAAACAGAAAAGAAAAGATAAGATTCAACACAAGTTTGGTCTTATAGTGCATTCACCAGATGGAAGATTCAGACAAAGTACATCATGGGCTTAGCCTAGTTACCAATTAACCCAGGACAGCTTTCTCTAGTACAAACAGTTACAAAAATCCCTCCTAGTTTAAATTAACCAAACAAATAAACCCCCTCTCGAGGAGGACAAATTGATAACTATGAACTTCTAAGAGATAGGATGGGCATTTACTATAATTCAGCTAAAACTCAGTGTAGTAGCTTTTGTAATTAACTTTTCTCGGATGATAGGGCTTTTCTTTTTTTTTTTTTTTTTTTTTNTTGTGAATTTATACTTCTGAACAATGACAAACGACCACCAGTAGAGTATTAGTATACTTGGTACATTAAAAAACTCAACTCACCATAATCCCCTTTCATCTGCTACAAATACCATGGGATTGCGATCAAATCCCACGCCAATGAGCATTCTTTCAGAAACGAACAGAACCTAAATAGTATAATTTCTTAATCATTAGTTTTTATCAACATTATCAGCATAAAATTATAGAAAACGAAATTTTTTAAAGAGTTGATGCTGACCCACATCTCGTAGAGGCAAATCCCGGAAGGTTACACTCTGAGCAGACGGAGAAGGTCCAACGTCGTCAACAAAGTATATCATTGAGTTGTGACCTGAGGTTTTGTGCTCGTTAATTAAAATCAAATAAAACATGAAGTGTTCACTCATATGTACCAAGTATACTAGTAATTTTTCTGAGACACAAGTTGCACTCAATACCCAAATTCAGACATAAATAATACATGATTGTTTTTTAGGTGCAAGATTTGGAAAAAGTAAAGATGCATGTTGATTGGTCGAATAATGTGTGTATTTTATATATTTATTAGCGTATTTTTATATGCATAATTTTATCGCACTTATATGTTTTTCGACTTATATATTTATTATATATTTATTAGATGGATTTAAGTGTTATGATATATTTATGGTTTATTTTAGGATATTGGAGTATTTTCATGGGCGGCGTAACACGGAACAAAAATTGAGTAGTCCAGTACGAGTACCCCATACCAGCCCATTTTCGGCCCATATGTGCAAAAAAGGCCCAATATTTAATTAAGATTTAATTATTGGTTGACTTGGAGATTTGGATTTTGGACTCCACAAATAAAACCCACGTGCTGGAGAACAAGCAATGGAGTGTCACAATTAATTGAAGGCAACCATTATTTATTCATCGCTTTGGAAATAGAGGGACATTAACACGCAGGCCCTAGGAGGAAAGTGGAAAAACCATTAGGGAAATAATTATTTTGAAGAACATGCAGGCCTTGGGAGTCTTCATTGGAGGAGGTTTGGAAATAGTTAAACTCTTGGGCAGCCACCAATAATTATTCACGCAGCAAAGGGAAAAGAGTGCAGCCAGGCATATGCGGAGAGAAGGTAGACAGATGCGAGGAACCCGACGAATTGCGGAGGGAAACCACACCTGCAAGGATAATTTTTATTCTCTTTCTTCTTATATTAGAGTAGATTTTATTTCTAATTCCAGAGAAGTCGAACCCTACGACTTGACAATGTTTAATTGATTTTCGTGGTTGATAATTTTACTATCTTTTTGGAATTGTGCGTGTTATTTTGAATTATGAATTTAGATTTGTCTAGTCTTATTTAGATTAATCAGATTAGGTTTTCATCTCTATAGCTAGAGCTAAACCCAAGGTTGTCAAAATCGGACCGGTCATACTGGTTCAATGGTCACTGGTCCGACCAGTGGTTGAACCGGTTGGACCGTTATTTAATTTATTAATATTTTTAAATATATATAATAATTTATATAATATAATTTATATATAAAGCTTTGTTAATTAAATATTAAGATAATTTAGAACATTCAAATACTTAAAATAACATAATAACTTATACATGTATTTTTTATTCTACTGAAATAAATTAAATATATATTTTTTTATTTAAATAGCAACTAATAGTAGGTTGGTTATATATAAATTTTTAATTTTTGAATATTACAACTTAGTTACGAGTCACACTTTGGTTGGTTAATTTACAGAACCGAGTGAACGCAGCCCAAGGAGGGTGTACTTAGTTACGAGTCACATAAGTAATGCAACTATGAGTCACACTTTGGTCACCATTGGCTGTAAGTCGATTAAATGTTACCATTGGATTCCACATAAATTTCATTCTGTGAGCCCAGCCCAAGGGATATGTATCTAAGGCCCATTTAATAGTGTCAAATATTTAATAAACTAGGCACATCAACACTTGGTGATACATCCCACATCGAAATGACAAGAAAAGGAATTCTGCTATTTAATTGATCACTTTGGGATGCTCAATCACAAGCTTCCACATTCAAGTGTTGAAAGCGTTTAACCCGTGAAACCGGTCCCGGTTCACCGGTTCTTCCGGTTTTGGACCGGTTTGGACGGTTTTGGAACGGTTTGAATGAATGGCGGTTTAATGGAGCGAACCGAACTGGGATGCAGGCTGGTTACCGGTTTAACCGGTTAAACCGGCCGGTCCGGTCCGGTTTTGATAACATTGGTTAAACCTTCAATCCTTAATTGTTGTTGTTGTGTTTAATTCATAAGTAGCAACCGAGAGCTGGTAACTGTCGAGAATAACACGACGTAATTAAGTGAACCACGCGGTTGTATTTACTACTTAGATTAGTCTATTTTTCTAGATCTTAAAGCGGCTATAGCATTAAATCTAGAGAGCGTGTTCTAGACTAAACACAGTAAGTCAAGTTTAACCGAAGAACGTTACTAGGCTAAATAAATAGTAAGAAAAAGATTCAGATAGCAGAGTGTATTGATATCTAAGGCTAGTAATTTCGGAAGATAGTGAAACTTGATGTCATTATTGATTAGCACTGTTCTAAAAATCGGCCTAGGCGGCCGCCTAGGCGCTAGGCGGTGCCCGGGCACCTCCGATTTGTACAAATCGGCAAAAAAAATCGGCCAGGCGGCTAGGCGGCGCCTAGGCGGGCTCGGCGGCCAGGCGGTTAGACGGCGTCTAGGCAGGCGTAGGCGGACTTAGGCGCTCCTAGGCGGGCTCGGCGGCAATTTTTCAATTTTTTTAATTTTTTTTTTTATTTTTTTAAATACTAATTACATTATTTTATTCTCATGTTTTCTTTAATATATATTAATATTATTATTTAGACTTTGGTGTGTGAATTTATTATATGTTGAGATAATTTTATTTTGTAGGTAGTTAAAATAAATAAAAAAATAAGGTATTTACTATTGATTTCTGGGCCCCGACTAGGCGCCGCCTAGGCCCCGACTAGGCGCTCTAGGCTCTAGGCACTGGTCGAGCGCCTAGCGGGCGCCTAGCGACTTTTAGAACACTGTTGATTAGACTAGTCGAGCGAGGGCATAGACGGAGACGGAACCGTGAACTAAAAATTTCTCTTAATTTATTTTATTTTCTTTGTTTAAAATTTATTTGTTTCATTAGGATAAAAGTTACTTTAGTTATTAAATCAAAACCCCCTACCTTTTATTATTTTCTTAATTTCAATTAATACGAGAAATATCACAATTTGATTCACACTTTTCGTGGGATCGACCCTTACTTGCCTCTATAACTAGTAGTAGAGGTTAGCCAAGGAATAATATAAAGTCTAAGTTCATGTTGCGACGCACCGTCATATTGAACTCCATATCACATACGGATAGAAACTAAATGCATATAGCCAGCGCAAACTGAAGAAAATCTGACCTACATAGGCTAAGGTATTGCCATGTGGGGACCATCTGATGCCAAATGTCCAACTAAATGAGAGATCAAGCTGCATGATTTGCTGATCCAAAAGAGCACGGAAAAGATGAGGAAAGAAAAGAAACAACCAAACAGATAGTTAAATCATACATTTTTCCCACATCAATTAATAGGCTATAAAAAACAATTTTTCTTATAAAAAATATAATAATAAAAGAAGCAAAGGACAGATCCAGACCTCTCCAAATTTTGAATCAGAAGAACCTGTAGAGTTCCTGTAAGATTGTAAGATATGCCATGAAACATGTGCATTAGTTATAAAGGAAGGGAAACTGAACGTCAAAGACTCAGAGACTCAGCATCACCAATGAAACATACTTCGTGTCTACACCTTTGATGAAAGTAGAGAATACTCGGCACTTTCCATCGGTTGATGTGGTTGCAAGCAATATCTGAGAACGAAAAATATTGAAAAGGTCAAATAATCAACTAAATGAAGCTAGTGAAAAATGGACCTCCCCAATCCGATATATTTCAATTATTAGATTTCTTTCCAAACACTTACTGCAATAGGATGTAACTTTTAGCTCTCGAATAAGGTATTCTCATCCTTTAAATCAATACTTACATAGGTATCAAAACATTGTAATGCTCAGGTGGGTGCATATCAATATATAAACCAATTTTGTGTTGTTTCTCTAAAATAAAGATAAAAGTGGTGTAGAAAACGCAACTGTAATTTGGAGGAAATTGTAACTGTTCACAGAGCAACAGATAGAAGGTGAGATAATAGACGAGGCATACTCACATTATTAGGATGCCAGGCAACACTTGTCACAGAAGAATCATGCCGCTTTCTAATAATTTTGCTTACCCACCTGTGAGAAGTATAACAAATACACGGAGACAAATAAGAGTTGCACCAAGATAACAAAAGACACCCATGTACCCCTAATTCTAAAGACAAATTATATCATTATGCCTTATATAATAATAACATTACCTAAGAAATTGGGAGAAACAGGAACTAAGGAATCTTACCAGTTGTTCTCTTGCTCATAGTAGCATATACAAACAGTTTTAGCCCCACTTCCGACAGCAAACTTGTTTTCTGAAGGGGGAAAACAGGAGTTAAGAGAATGCATCAAATTTACAACACAGTGAACTTAAGACAAATGAAAGCACAATACATTCTCTTGTAAGTTTTCATATCAAAGCACATCTCATGCGTCACAATTTCTTTCAAACAAATTGTTTAATTAGAACAAGTGTGTTAGAATGCAGGTATAAATAAGAGAGAGGGACAGGGGTAAGGAGAGAGAGAGAGAGAGAGAGAGAGAGAGGAGCGTATACGTCCATCATCACATCATGCACCACAAGATTTAATGCATCACACCGCTCTAAGATTTTCATACCTTTTGGGCTCCATTGTACACAAAGTGCAGCACGATTAAGTCTGAGGATAACAAGGGTTGGCACCCACTCTGACGCTTCTAGTGACCACACGTAACTAAAAAACGATGGAACTCGTATGTCAACAAAAGTGTGTACAATGAAATTGCAGGCAACGATATCAGTTAGTGAAACAAAACATAAAAATTAGTGTATCTTGTGAACTAGACCAACAGAAAGATAGCACTTACGAATTCCGATCATGAGCAACAGAAACTATTCTGTTCGAACCTACGCCCCAATCTATTCCAGAGACAATTTGATCATGCTGTGACCAAAAGAAGACAATGAGAAGATGAATCAAGCCAATGATGAATTAGATGATAAAGATCAAATTGCGAATCTGTCAAGAACTTAACCAAGATAAAAGTAAAAAGCAGCACCATGGCAACTCTTGAAATCTCTGGCAGCATAATTTGCTTATATACTTTTCCTATATTGCCTGGAGAATTTTTCCTAACCACACAACATGACCCATGCCTATATTTATATCTGTAGCTCTAAAATTTATCAAATTTCGATCTGTATAAAACTAGTCGAGGTGATTATCGATCCACTACAACCAACAAAAGAAAAAGATCACCCAATTTCTCAATTGTTATGCGGTAATGGTAACTTCAGAAAATGTTTTTCTTTCAGATTTAACTCCTGCATACTGGGACCGACACATAAAATGGTTTAAAACGCAAAAGATGAGTTACTTAGTACTCTTTGTGCTATCAATTTTCTGCCTAACATTACTGCAACCAGAGCTTATAGCTCCATCACTCCTAAGTCAAGTGCACAACACACTAAGCGCATTCTATGTTGAGGAGAAACTTTGTGAAAGGCACGTTGCAACTTTTTCGAAAGACCCACAAGGAAACTAGCTAGATCGCAATTAGTTCACCAGAAACCAACAAAACTGAAGCACCTTCAAGAGAGAGGCTGCACGTTTACCTTTTGAAGAACGTGGATCTTCTCCCACTTTCCTCCCAAAAGCTGATAGATATGCACTTCATTGTTATTGGGACAAAAGGCTATCACTACAATCCAAGCAACACAACAAATTAGGACCACCCTCAGCAACCCACAATCATACAAACAAGAGAAAAACCATAAAATTTCGCATTACTCGAGTGATCTGGGCTCCAAGCATGGCAAGTGATGCATTGAGCAAACTGATGAACTGAAACCGCGGCCATGGTTTTCGATTTCAGCTGGAAACTAAGAAATCCTGGGACGAAACAGCAATCCAATGGATGGGACAGGATTTTCAATTTTCTGCTTGGAAAAACACACACACACTTTTACAGCTCAGTAATAGCTCTCTCCGAATACAATTTCGGGGCTATATGATCGGGATCACCTGATTTACTCCAACGGTGTAGGGCCGCCGTTGGTCCCGGAATATGGATCCGCGGGGAGGGGAGTGAGAACACAGTAATATGCAGGGCAGAAATAAAAAGACGAAGTTGATTAGGGTTTTGAGATTGGGATCGACGAGAGATATGTGGGGGAGATTCTATACAATGTGGGAGGAGTTGGGCGATAAAAAGGAAGGAAAAGGAGGTGTTGTGCGTTGGTGGCGGTGGTGACGGTGGCGGAAGGTGGATAGAGAGAGAGGGGAAGAAGGAAAAGTTAAATCTGTATTATTGCGATTTTGCTTATACTGAAAAAAAGTATGCATATCTTTTATAATATAAAATATGGTTGTAACAGCAGCATTTGTTTAAATTTTTATATTAGATGATAAATTTATTTTTTGTTTCCAATTCGACTGAATTCATTTCTCATTTACGCAAAATTCAAATTGCGATATTAGTTTCATAAAACTTCATTCTTTCAAAAAGAGTTCCAATATATTGATTAGTTTCATACAAAATCAATATTGCAAATTTGTGTTAGAAAACGGGTATAAAAATTACACGGAAATCCTACGAATTGATATGTATTTTTTTTTCAAGTTCTTACAAATAATCTAAAATTAGAAAATTACAATTGAACTGAAAAAATAAATTACAACTGAAAAATAAATTAAAACAGAAAGATTTTAGCCGAGGCGAGTAATACTCTTTCCGCAAGAAGAATACGCCCCGTGTGGCAGCTAGCGGTTCAGGCGTAACTTCCTCAAAGATACAACGGCAAACGTCTCTAAATCTGTAGCACACCAGATTTACGAGCTCCGACGAACTGGAACGAAATCGAGAATTGAGCACTAAAAATAAAAATATATATAATATTTTTTTTTCTTTCCTTTTCTCACTTTTTTTTTCTCTTCCTTTTCTTTTTCTCTCCTTTTCTCTTCTTCTCTCTCTTCCTTTCATTTTCTTTTCTTCCCCTTTCTTTCTCTGCGTGTATTTTGGTCCCCTTATCATCAAAGGAACAATGCTAATTATAGAGGGAAATGTGATCATCTTACCATTAATTAAAATGGTTGTTGAAAGAATAAGAATAAGTTGTTGGAATATTAGGAAGAATATTAGTTTACAAAATTAATTTAAACTCAATTATTACAATCCCCCACATGAGTTTAAATTAAATGTATAAAATAATGTGCTCAATCCTCACAAAACTCTATACATCAGAAAAGGTAGCTTTTGGCTTTGAACCTTTCTTAGTAAATATCATCGGATGCACTGGCGGACTAGTGGACATAATGCCTTGAACTATTCCTCCATAGTGTACACCTAGACAATGACATTCACACAATAGAGTCTTAACTCCATTTCGTTCTATCATTGTGTCCGTTTTGGCCATGGACAACACAATGGATTCATAAGTGTTTACATTTGAAGCGGCCCACACTTCACACTTATATAGGTGACCTTCCTATTAAGAGTATCATGTATTACTCCAATTTTACAAGGTTAAGGATTCATTAAAAGTCCACATGACTTACCCTTACCACAATCAACAGGTCATCAGCACTTGGAGTGCTCTAGGGAATAGCTTTGAACATTCATATGTTCCAAGTGCTCAACTGAATTTTCATAGCTTAGTTTTCCCTTTGAACCAAGTTTGTGGGATCTCCATTCAGCATGATAGGGTTACCACTATGGTCATTCTTTACATTGTGGATTCTTAAGCCTATCCCTCTAGCAAAACTACCAATCGATCTCTATTCAATCCTTTCGTCAAAGAATCAGCCAAATTTTCCTTAGACTTCACATAGTCAATGGAAATAACACCATTTGTGATCAATTGGCGTACGGTATTATGTCTACGACGAATATGTCTAGACTTACCGTTATACAAGTTGCTTTGCGCCCTACCTATAGCAGCTTGGCTATCACAGTGAATCATCACAGGCGGCAAAGTCTTATCCCAACATGGAATATCGGATAAAAAATTTCTAAGCCACTCGGCTTCTTCACCAGCTTTATCTAAAGCTATGAACTCCGATTCCATCGTTGACCGAGCTATGCACGTTTGTTTTGTGGATTTCCACGAAACTGCACCTCCTCCAACTGAGCCACTGGTTGACCTTTATTGGCTACCAGATCTATACTAAGATCAAGGGTGTCTTACACCTAGACTGTGCACCGTCATAGGTATCAAATTTCTTGAGCACTTTCTCTACATAATGAGATTGTGACAAGACAATTCCATCTTGGGTTCTGATAATCCTTACTCCAAGAATAACATCAGCCAAACCCATATCTTTCATGTCGAAATTTCTTTTCAGCATTCTTTTCGTATCCATGATCACTTCATGGCTACTCCCCATGATCAACATATCGTCTACATATAGACATACAATCACAAATGTATTTGATGTACTCTTGACATAAACACATTTGTCACATTCGTTGATTTTGAACTCATTTGACAACATCACGTCATCAAATTTCAAATGCCATTGTTTCGGAGCTTGTTTCAGTCCGTACAAGAATTTGATCAATCTACACACCTTTCTCTCTTGTCCAGGTGCAACAAACCCTTCAGGTTGTTCCATGTATATTTTTTCTTCCAATTCACCATTTCAAAAATGCCGTCTTGACATCCATTTGGTGAATCTCAAGATTGTGCAAAGCAGCAATCGAGAGAAGCACTCTTATCGACGCTAAACGCGTAACTGGTGAATAGGTATCAAAGAAATCATACCCTTCCTTTTGTTTAAAGCCTTTGACCACCAATCTTGCTTTAAGCTTATCAATCGATCCATCAGCTTTATATTTTTTCTTTAGGATCCACTTGCATCCTAAAGGTTTACAATCATCAGGGAGATCAACCAACTCCTAAGTATGATTTTGCATAATGGACTCGATTTCGCTATTTACAGCTTCTTCCCAGAGTGGTCCATCTGGGCTGGACAGAGCTTCCTTAAGGGAGCTCGGTTCATCGTCCAACATGTACGTAATAAAATCAGGTCCAAATGTTTTCACCGTTTTTAACCTTTTACTACGTCTCGGTTCTTCATCAGTACCCTCTGGCACAGAACCACTAGCAGTTTCATACGTTCGTTTATTAGAACTAGATTCTGCTCTTTCCTTCAGATATTCTCAAAGAATATAACATTCATCGACTCAATCGTGGTACCAACAGATACCTCTGGATTTTCTGATTTATAAACCAGTAATCTATATGCTGTACTATTGTAAGCATATCCAATAAATACGCAATCGACCGTCTTTGGCCCGATTTTCATTTGTTTGGGTTCTGGTACTGAAACCTTAGCCAAACACCCCCACACTTTCAGGTATTTATAAGACGATTTATGATTTTTCCACATTTCGTAAGGAGTCTCATCTTTCCCTTTATGTGGTATTTTATTCAGGATATGATTTGCTGTTAAAACAGCTTCCCCCCACATGTTCTGGGGTAATCCTGAATTTATCAACATGGCATTCATCATTTCTTTTAACGTACGGTTCTGGCGTTCAGCAACACCGTTCGACTGTGGAGAATAAAGGGCTGTCGTTTGATGAATTATGCCATATTCAGAACATATTTGTTCAAAAGGAGCTACATACTCCCCACCCCCATCACTTCGGATTATTTTAATCCTTTTGCCGAGTTGATTTTCAACTTCGGTCTTATAGATTTTAAATGCTTCCACAGCCTCGTCTTTGCTTTTTAACAAACATAAGTAGTAAAACCTTGTGCAATCATCAATAAAAGTAATAGAATACTTTTTACCAATTCTTGTTTGCACACTTTTCATATCACATACATCAGTATGGATCAAGCCTAATGGTTCAGTACTCTTTTCCACCGAGTGAAAAGGCAACTTAGCCATTTTTGCTTCAATACAAATTTCACATTTTGTATTTGTCTCAAATTTAGAAGTAGGAATTAGTTCTAAATTCATCAACTGTTTAATTGTATTTAGATTTACATGTCCCAATCTTATATGCCATAAATTAAAGCACTCAACGGTATAAACAGAAATAGGCTTTCCATTATCAACGGTTACACGGCTCATGGCTATTACATTCATTTTGAACATACCCTTGTCGAGATAACCACGACCAAGGAATGTTCCAAACTTGCTAAGAACAATCTTCTTAGCATCAAATACCAGCCTAAATTCATGCTCAACAAGAAGAGATCCAGAGACCAAATTCTTGCGGATGTCTGGGACATGCAGAACATCCTTAAGCTTCAACTCATTTCGAAAAGTCAGCTTCAGCACCACAGTGCCCACTCCAGCCACATCAGTCGTGGCGGAGTTTGCCATGTAAAGTTTCTGACTCTTAGCAGGAGTGTATTCAGAGAACACCTCCTTATCGGAACACACATGACGAGTAGCACCAGTATCGATCTACCACTCCCTTGGGTTATCCACCATATTGGCTTCAAACACCACAACCGACATATCAAAGTCGGTCAGTTCACCCGGCACATGACCGTGTTCAGCCATAAGGGCACTCGGTTTACCTTTCTTGGCCTAGTCTTCTTTGGCCTCTTGCAGTCTTTAGCCATATGGTTCGGCTTTCCACAATTATAACAAGTTCCGGTAAACTTCCAAACCTTAGCAGGCTGCTTCCCTTTGTCTAGGGACTTCCTCTTGCTCGAGTTGCCTTGCTCTATCAAGTTAGCACGAGCCTCCATCATCGGAATTTTCCCCGATGAATTACGATTGTCCTCCTCAATACGAAGACGAACAATCAAGTCTTCAAGACTCATTTTCTTCCTCTTATGACACAGCCGCAATACGAAGACGAACAATCAACTTTAACACAATTATAACTTTAACTTGAAGTCTTTCCAACCCATCGGCAGTTTTTCAATCACAGCCGCAACTTGGAATGACTCGCTCAGAGACATTCCCTCAGCATGAATATCGTGCAAGATGAGTTGAAATTGTTGCACTTGTGACACAACGTCTTTGTGTCAACCATTTTGAAGTCAAAAAATTTTCCGACGACGAATTTCTTCGCCCCGGCATCCTCGGTCTTGTACTTCTTTTCCAAAGTAGCCCAAAGCTCTTTGGCAGAACCAACCGAGCTGTACACATTGTACAACTCGTTACTAAGTCCGTTCAGGACATAATTACGGCAAAGGTAATCACCTTGCCCCCAAGCTTCGTACGCAGTGCGTAGTTCAGTATTGGTCTCATTTTCAGCAATAACCGGGGGGTCGTCCTTCAGGTATTTCACCAAACCCAAAGTGGTCTGCTAAAATGCATCTTTTGTTGTCACCTTTTAAATCAAGCCCATTGAATTTTTCGGGCTTCTCGGAAGTAGGGACATGGACAACAGGTACATGATTGATCGGATGTTGAGTGTTGGAACTATTTCCGGTGGAAGCCATCAGTCCAGTAGGTTGAGATATTCTTCTTGCGATTGTTAGAAAACGGGTATAAAAATTACACGGGAATCCTACGAACTGATATGTATTTTTTTTTTTTTTTCAGTTCTTACAAATAATCTAAAATTAGAAAATTACAATTGAACTGAAAAAATAAATTACAACTGAAAAATAAATTAAAACGGAAAGATTTTGGCCGAGGCGAGTAATACTCTTTCCGCAAGAAGAATACGTCCCGTGTGGCAGCTAACGGTTCAGGCGTAACTTCCCCAAAGATACAATGGCAAACGTCTCTAAATCTATAGCACACCAGATTTACGAGCTCCGGCGAACTGGAATGGAATCCAGAATTGAGCACTAAAAATAAAAATATATATAATATTTTTATTTTTTTCTTTCCTTTTCTCACGTTTTTTTTTTTCTCTCTTCCTTTTCTTTTTCTCTCCTTTCCTTTTCTTTCCTTCCCCTTTCTTTCTCTGCGTGTATTTCTGTCCCCTTCTCATCAAATTAACAAATACTAATTATAGAGGGAAATGTGATCATCTTACCATTAATTAAAATGGTGTTTGAAAGAATAAGAATAAGTTGTTGGAAGAATAAGAATAAGTTGTTGGAATATTAGGAAGAATATTAGTTTACAAAATTAATTTAAACTCAATTATTACAATTTGATCTCAAACAATATTAATGTTGTGGTTTTGCTCCCATCTAAAATATAATAAATGTTAGTGCATATTCAACATATCTCTATCTTCTCCGTATAATTGTCATTTGAAGAAAACTAGTACGCTACTCATGTACTCACAAAAACTTAGAAAATATATATATATTTTATAAAAAATAAAATTAATTTAAAAAATATATTCTTGTGATTAAATTATAAAAATAGATATACAATAAATAGAATGACATGAATTTAAACGCAATTTATCAATAATAATAATTATTATTTTAATCACATTTATAAGATTATGTATATCTAAATAAACGTTATGTTAAACACTGTACATTTGGATTGTCAGAACGACTTTTTATCTGATATACACACGCTTGTGTTCTTGAATTCTATCAAATGTTCTAGAGTGTCGTATCATGAGTTGCGTTTGAAGATAGAACCCCGGTCACGTAGTTGAGGAACATGGATATATCTATGAGGTTGTGCAACAAGATGCAATTGGTTGTTAAAAACTCTCCACTCATGTTCTTGAATGTAAAATCCTCATTGGAGATCATTCAGGTAAGAAGGTCTTGGTTATGCGGATGACACTAACTCCTTCTGATGTTATAACACCTTTCAAATTACAACGCTACAACAAAGACAGTTCCACTAATGATGATAAACAAGAGTCAGAGTCAATCTTTATCTCATGTTAGCCTGTTTTTGAAGAAACTAGTGTTCAATCACGGTCACCTGTAGGTTGTATGTAGTTGTTTCACGCATTACAAATCGTAAGGGTTCGAAGAATTTAATTTGTGTCAATGACGATATATCAAAAAATTAAACAAATAATGTCGATTACAAGAGGCGTTTAATAATATATAAATAATACTTTATTTTACTCTTATTAAATGCGTTTTATGTTTTGAACAATGATCCCATTATCCAGCTTAAAATGCTTCTCTTAATATTACTAGTCCGTGAATCGCACAGGTACCGCACTAGTATTGTATATGAATGTATAAAAATATGTATTATAAAATATAAATGAACAAGATATTATACCGGTTAGACCACGGTCGAACCTGTAGTTCCACTAGTTCGATGACCTGTCCGATATCTTGAACGTTGAAAAACAGTAAAGGAATTATGAAAGTCATATTTGGAATTACCTTGCCCTCTCTTATCCTTATAGTACCCCTCCTTACCATCTCCATCTCGTCGCCCGACATCTATGTTCTGCTCTTGGGCCATGATGGGCAAAGAGAGAGAGAGAGAGAAAGTGAGAGAGAGAGAGAGAGAGATCTCCGGCTTCATGCTTCTCTCTTTTGCCAGAGGGGCTGATTAGAAATTTTGAGTTGGATTGGAGGAGGCGACGGATATCTGGGGCTTGGAGATCTTAGGGGTGGTTTCAGTTCAGTAACTCAACCAAACAAGATAATATCCAACTCAATCGAAAGTTTCGTATGACCAAATTATGACACCAAAATTGAACCGGTCTTTACCCAATTACCGAATATCAATAACCAAAAATTTTGTGCGATATTACTAAAACGATCAAATAGAAAACCAAGCAGCACACATCATCATTCATCAACTCAAAGTCTAACTTTGTATCCACCATCATCTTAAAGAAAAAACAGAGAACCCACCATCAACTAAAAGTCTGCAAACAACTGACAATCATTTGAGGAGGCCGAGCTTGATGGTACACGACGTCTACATCAACTTCAATAGCCGACGGTCATCTGAGGATGACATTTAACGCAATAGATCTAACACGAGCGAGTATGAAAGGGCGGCAACCTACCTAATTCAGTAATATCAAATTTTAGATTTTCGATCCATGATTCTTGAATTTTTATCAGCTCATACATTGTAGATCGATGAAGTTTAAAAAATTTGAAGATAAAAAGGAAGTCTTGTGATATGAGGGTGTTTCAAGAAATAAATTTGATTAATTTTATTTAGCCTTTTGATCTCAAGGAATACGATAATGGATCGTGAATGATTTTGGAACTCTGCAGAGAATACTTGGGCTATGTATATAAGGAGGCTAATTACCTATGGTTAAATGGGATGTAGGTTATGTGCCAATTGGAGTGGCCTAAGAAATGACAGAAGTCTTCACTCTATAAAGATTTTCGGTTCGGTTTGGTAAAATCAAAACACATGTTTTTCAACTTTGAAACCGAATCGAAAGCCTTTTTTTTTTACCGATTTCCGTAACAAAAAAAAAAAATCAATTTGATTCGGTTCGGTTTTTCTATGTCGGTATGGTTCGATTCTGTGTTGTTTTTCGGTTTTTGAGTAAAAAATGACATCCCTACCCGACCTCATTAGTGTTGTCGATCCCCCAATATCTGCTTAATCGATTAAGTATTTTCGGAGTTTATTTAGTTATGTTTGGTAAGCACCATAAGCTAGCTTAAATCTTATTTTGTTAGCTTATAAACTTCATATATGCGAGTAAGTTCTGTTTGGTAGGACGATTTTTTTTAAGATGTTCAAGCTTATCACATAAGCTTCCCTTGGGTAGTTTTTTATTTCAGTCAGCTTATCAACTAATTTTATCATATCAACTAGCTTTTCAGCTATAAGCTACCAGCTATGAGCTCGAAATTCACTTATAATCTTTTTTTTTTTCAAAACGGCAGATTCATTAACTAAAACACATAATTACAACCGACTAAGTAGTCGGAATAGGAGGGACTACCCAAGGTAGCCTAGATACCACAACACACCCTACAATACGAAAAAAGAAAAAGTAAAATAAAAAATTCCCCAAAGGAGAATACACAAGCTTTCCACAAGAGCATAACACAAGCTCCCCACAGAAGAATAACACGAGAAAACCCACTCCACAACTGGAAAATAAACACACCAAACAACAGAAAAAGAAAAACACAACCAAATAGAAAAACAACACAAACCACTACAAAAGACACACAAAGAAAACCCAAGATAAAAATAAAAAAATAAATAAAAAAACGAAACAACTAACGACCCTCCACAACCGCAACAGACAACAGAGCCACACGCACGACCGGTCCCGACAGAAAACAGAAACATGACTCAAATCTAAATCTAGAAACTGCAAACGAGGCCTAACTACTCGGACACACAAGTCGAACCTCCTCCTACCAGAAACACCCCAAGCCCCACCGCGAGTTCTAACTGAAGTCCCCCGTCACCAACCGGCGGGAGCAATCGGTCTCCCACCATCGCCGGCAGCCCAAAGCCCCTATCGTTAGACCACCCACCCTTGCACCAGGAGACGGGATGGCCCAGGGGGTTTACAAAGCCTTAGTTATAATTTGGTTTGTAATTTTTCATTTATTATTAATATATCTATCGCTTTGAAAAAAAAAATAAAAAAAAATGAAAAAAAAAAGTAAACCAAAATATTTTGCCCCAACAAGGTCACAATCCCTTGTTGAATATTCGAATATAATAGATACTATCTCTCTCCCTGAAAAAAAAAATAAAAAATAAATNTTTTTTTGGGGTCGGAGGTATCCCTACGTTTAAAAGTTGTTTTGTTGCTTGGTTTATTCTTGGTAGTTTGTGTTGTGTTGTTAAATCTGTTCTGATCAATCTTCTGTGTTGTTTATTAGTTTCTTTTGGCGCTGAGTTCAAAAAATTGTTGTTATCTAGTTCCGTTAGGTGCACATTTTGTTCCTTTTGTGCGGATTTATTTTGTTTAGATTTTTATTTTGATTGTCTTGGTTATGTAAGGTTTGTTTCTTATGTTTCTGTTTCGCATTTCCCTGTTCAGTTTGTGTTCGTGCTCAAACAGTGTTGATGTCAATTGACATCTTGTACTTTGTCCCGTTCTTGAGTTTTATAATATTGCTTTCGTTTAGGGGAAAAAAAAAATGTGTCGTATTCTAGTTCGGTCCCTGCTAAGTAGAGCGCAAGGTTCGATAATATTTTCATTATTATAATAATCAATTTAAATAAATTTCCCTATATAGGTTTTACAAAAAGAAAAAAAATATTCTATTGCCGCTATTTAGAATAGAGAGAGAAGATAATATCTACTTGTACTTGTCCATAATTCTTCTAGCCTCTTCAAGACTATCATCAACAGAAGAAGTTCCTCCTCCTCCACCACCTTTTGGGCCATCACCTTTATTCAAGGCTATGAATGCAAGATAACTTAGTCCCATCACGGCCTGTTATTAGGAAATAATAATAAACAAAGAAACTTCAGTCATTTGTACAATGCAAGTATGTAACCGAGCATTCATGCAAACAAAATCTTCACATCGCTCTATGTCAAATTTCAAAGCCGGTGTTGAATATCACAATTAGAGATGGAAAGCAACCAAGTTTAGCCTCTGTGCTGGTTTTTGCAGTTTATCTCCCTTTGTGAATCATAAGTACAATTTTGTTATGATAGTCCAAGGGTAAGGAACTAAGGATAAAGGAGGAAAAACTACCAGGGCAAAGAATGCTGTGGATAGAAATGACTTGAGTAGAAAGAGTGCAAATGTGGCCGCAATAAAAGAAACACAAATCCTTGCTATTGGTCTTGAGATAGCATCCTGATAGATGAAGAACAAATTGAAAAAAAAATAAAAATTGTTGTACGAAAACAACAAGAATAAGAAGAAGATAGATGAACGGAAAGATGACTCACGGGAACCAAATCAGTTCCTGCTTCAACTCCATCCTTTGCAACCTTCCACACTGTTTGTATAACTATTTGAAACATAAAAAAGTTATGAATGGACGGATTTAAAGAATGAAACTAAATTTTTCATATTAGCCAAACAAAATTAATAAATTGGAAAAAAAGACATCTGAGTCTAATTGGTTGATGTTCACAGGGACAGCTTCACACATTTCCAGTATGCTATCCAACACGGTTATCCCCCATTAATGAAACTGCATTATCTTTTCTTGAGATCAATAAGAATAAATTTTCTAGTATTAGTTATAATTGCTATGCTATATTTTCCACATCAATAATTGGATACTCCTCTCTCTAATCAACTTATTCCAGTGTACAAAATTCCATGTCAAGTTCTATCTTTCCAGGTTGTATATCTCTCTCGCTGTTTACTCTTGTTAGGAAAGTATCAAGCAGCAAGAATCTAAAGAGTTTGAAACATGAGAATTTACTTTCCAGCCAAATTTTCTGATTTAATTTTTAGCGACATACTATGGCTTTTCCCAAACCAAATATGAAGAAATTATGCTAAACTCACATACATAAACATGACCGGTTGTAATCTAATTTAAGTCCTGTATCTCAACTGACGTCCAAGAGAAAGTGGCAAAGTGCTTAGTATACATAACCTTTCACTCTCTATAGTGCATCCAAGACGGTTAAACAAGATAGACAAAATAAAACTCGTAAAAGATTGAAACATTATTATTTAAAGATACTCGTGCAGTTTCAGGAAGCAATGGAATCAAGAACAGAAAATTTCGATAGCATGAAAATTCAGTTAACACCTTTTATCGGCATACGCATAACAGTTGCACAAATTCTTACATTATGCAGTATCTAACACAATTAACTAACGATTGATACAGCTTTATGGTACATTAACCATACATTGTTTGATTTGGCAACGGATGAACTAATTCCTCCAAATTCGTGTTTCTAATTCGGTCAAATTCATCAAGATTTCAAATGCCCAGAAAAGATTGAAGAATTCTGAGCAAATATAAACACCATTTCAACACTTTACCAGCAAAAGAAAACCCCAGAAAAGAAGAAAACAAAGTAAAAGAATAAAAGAAATACACAAATCCAAAACCGCACAAAAGGGTATGTATACCTTTGAAGAAATTAGACTGTGCAGCATAAACAACGGGCGAAGCACGAATGTTCGGATTCTTGAGCTGCCTAATTCGAACGGATGAGTATAAAGTGTGATTCTTTAATCTCAGAAGGCTCTGCGAAGCGAGAAATAGAGATGGGATTTGGGAAAAACGCGAAGGAATTTTTCGGCAGCATCTTGACGAGCACAGCGAAGGATATATGAAACCAGTGGAAGCCATAAAATCTCGTGTGCAATAATTTATCTTCCTCTTTGCGCCTGCTCCGTATTTTTATTTTTTATTCATGTTCTGGCAATTTTTTAAAATTTATTTATGTATTTAGCCTGTGAGAAGCTGAGAGAGAAGGGGGCTCTAATTTTCCTTTAGCCCAAAAAAGAACTGTGCTTTATAATTGGGCCTGGCATGTTACTCAAGGATTCAATATTAGATCCAATTATCGGTGATTGGAAATGGGCAGGCTTTGGTTTAACATTCTTCGCAGCTCGTGTATACCATATTACCATACAGCAGTCGAGACAAGTAGGGTTGCAAACGAGTCAAGCGGCCCACGAGTCGCTAAAGAGCGCTCGAGTCAATGCTCGACTCGACTACGGTGAAACTCGAACTTGAGTCGAGCACGAGCAGTTCAATTCAACAAAGGAGTCGAGCATCGAGAATCATTTTAAGAGGCTCGTAAGTTCGACGAGTCGCTTGACTTTTTATTTACATAAATACCTCAATTTGTTTAATTATCATCAATGGCAAAATTGTTTATATAGATTAAAAATAGTATCATTATATTTAAATTTTAGTTAAAATTTTCCAGCCAAACTTGAGCGATGTCGAATATCAAGTCGAGCTCGAGTATTCTTATCTTTTTCGCCAGTTGAGTCGCGAGCCATTTTACATGGCTCATCTAGCTCGAGCACTGAAGAAAAGAGTTTGATTTGCAGTTGACAAGGTTCATGCTTGACTCGACTCGACTTGACTTGTTTGCAACTCGATATACAAGTGATTTTGCTACTACAATACTAGATTGCCTCCACATATGGAATAATTAATTTATTTTCTCACAACTGTTTGTAGAAAGAGGCCTAACATAATAGAAAAGCCACCAATAATTTTGCAATTTATAGACCCAAATTCTATAGATATAGCAAAAATCTTATAGACCCAAATTCTATAGATAATAGAAAAGCCACCAATAATTGTTTGTAAGAATAAATAGTGGTTCCCCACTTACTCCTTAGATGACTCGAATTCGAGACATATTTGGTCTCAAGTGTAAGATGCTACCAACTGAACTACCCCTTCTCGTCTCAATATTTACTATTTACCGACTAATATTTATCAATGAATACAACTTTCTTGACTAGCCTGGCCGTCTTTCTTGCAATTGGTGTTATAGCATCAATTAATACACCTAATATTAAAAATAATGTGTTTCTCCACAAAGTTGAAAGTAAGAACTCTTAGACCATCTCCAACCCTTAATTCTACTTTTGGGCGGACTTTAATCTACTCTAGAGTAGAGTTAAACATTCGTCTCCAGCCCTTATCTCTACATTTTACTCTATATCAAATATATTAATTTTTTATTCATTTTTATTTCAAATAAATTGGTATATATATGTATATTTAATTTTGTATAAATGTTTATTTCCTAAATAATAAAAATGTATTTTATTTATATTCATTTCAAATGAATTGGTATATGTATATATATTTAATTTTATATAAAAAAATTTATTACCCAAATAATAAAAATATATTATAAACTTTTAATTTTAATAAAATCTACTTGATTGAATGTGTTAAATTTTTGTTCATATGGTACCATTTAATATTAAAAAATAATAAAATAAAATTATAAATTATCAATAAATAAAAAGTACAAAATTATTTAGCATAAAAAATACATTACACAAAGTTATTTCGCATAAAAAATACATTTACTAGTACACATTATACAAAAATTTATCATTAATATTATATTAAAATACATAAAACAAAAAAAGTGCAGCGCTGCTACAGTGTTGCGCCAGATGTGACGCAACACTGTTCAATCCTCTATTTCAACGCGGGATTGTAGCGCAGGATTGGAGGAATTTTGATCGCTACTTCAGTGATAAAACACAGATATATCGCAGCACTGGGGATACTCTTAGTCACACACAAATTGGAAAAAAAATGTATAAAAAAAATTAATGTGGCCCTCCACAAAGTTGAAAGTAAGATTGTTTGTTCTTTGGTAACAAGAGAATAAATTTCTAATAAATAATTATATGTATAATTAAGTGCTTATTCGTAAAAAACTAACTATTTTTATGGTTGAATGTCATAAAAGTTCAGGAATTTCATTTAAGTGTAAGTAAATATAGTTTTTGAGGAAAAAATATCTTATTTAGCTTCTTCGATTGAACTACATAATTTGATATTGACATAAAATATAACTACTCCAATTTGAAATAATAAGTTGCAACTTTTTTTTTTTTCGGGCAAACGTTGTCATTAACTGGTAAGCCATCTTTGTGGACTATTTTGCAGGATTTAAGGGACTTTTTTTTGTGTGTGTATAATAAGGGACTTTACTGAGCCCATATGCTCAATCGCGATTATTGGATGCAATTATTTTGTTGATTCTTGCGTGTGTACAAGAAAAGAGAAGAACAGTGTCTGTGTAATCCACTCATATGTCTATTGTTTATTAACTTATTTAATATGTATAAACCTGCTTAACTCTTGTAATTTATTTTGCTATTAAGTTAGCTCATTAGATTCGTGGAATAAAGGTATTTCACGTGACCTCTTACTCTTCTTAGTACATAGATTTTTCCCCTTTCATCTCTTTTATTATGCGTTTCTATATATATATTGGGTTCGATATTAATATAGGACGTTATTTTTATTTTTATTTTTCATAATATCAGAAAATCATTTGTGGAGAACATATCTGATCTCATCCTATGTACCATAAAATCACACACAAAACAACACAAATTCTTAGTGAGACAGCCTAATCGGCAAGTGGTTTGACTCATAATACATTTGTTTTTTGAAAAATATATATTTATGCAATAAAATGTCATATTTTTATTTATGTTGTTTTTGTAGAATATAGCATTTCAATTGAAAAGTGTGCAAATTTATTAAAAGTACTGTGATTGTCTAAAAGTTAGCATATCTAATAGTAGACTATCTAACCTCTTTGATTAGAAAAAACAAGCTTTCTTAAAGAAAAAAGCAATATATATATATATAGAGGTTGGTTCAAATAAAAATTAATCCTGGTGTGAGAATCGTGAGAACCATATTTGATGCTACTTTCAATTGTTTATGATGTTATTTTTAATCTTACATGGTGCTATCATTTTTACAAATGCTAACATAAATTGTGTTACTATTTTTAATAAAATACATCCTGATTAAAAATAACACTAAAATACAATTAATCATAGCACTAGATACAATTAAAAATAGCGGTTATCACGGTTCTCACGCTAGGACTTGATTCTCATTTGAACCACATCATATATATACACGTGATTAATCCGGGAATGTAATACTCCCTCCTATTTTTAGTAAGTGTCGTTTTGAGAAGTTGCACAGTAATTAAGAATCTTCTTTTTTGCCAATAATAACCTCATTAATGATGATAAAAATGGATGTTTTGAGAAAAAAGATAAAGAGTGAATATGAAAAGACGTAATGTATTTATTAGTTAGATGATGGTAATAATGGAAAAATATGTACAAAGGATTCAAAACGTCATTTATTTGGTTAATTGTTGATAAAATTAAAATAACATTTAAAAAAAAAATAGGATGTAGTACTATATAATTGTAATTTAAGTAGTGTTTCGTAGCCACTAATGAGCCGGTACGATCATGCATCGTATTAATAAATAATAACTTGACATTTATTAATTATGTACTTTGGTTTTAATTTCCAAAGGCCAGTTCTCAGCAAATTAAATACTATTACCTTCTATTCTTTTTAAATGTCATTTTGCCTTTATTAACTATTAACAAAATAAATATCGTTTTAGATTTTTTTTACATATTTTTCATTATTACTCTCATTTAGCTAATAAATACTGCGTCTTTTCATATTTTTTCATTATTACTCTCATTTAGCTAATAAATACACTGCGTCTTTTCATATTCACTTTTCATTTTTTCTCAAAACATCATTCTCTATATTTATTAAAGAAGGTTATTATTGGCAAAAAAATATTCTTAATTACTTTGCAACTTCTTAAAACGACACTTATTATGAATATGAGGTAGTAGTAATTAGCTTTTTATTCAAAATTTTGCACGTTAAATAGACATATATAATCTCTTTTGGTTCCACCTTATACAGTACGTTTTAACAGAAGTATAGAAATAGCATTTGAAGCATGAATATTGCCAACGAAAATGGTGTATGGGCACAAATTTATTTAATTTGTATTTTTTTTTAAATTATATCTACAGAAGTAAATTTAGCATTACAAAATATTTTTTTGAACAAACATTGGAAAAAAGGTCGATTAATGCAGTTCAAATAAAAATACGAAATTTAATTGAGAAATAAAAAAGATTGAGAAATAAAAAAGAAATAAGTAGTGGTGGTGGTGTGGAAATGGGATTTTGCTATTCCTTGTGGGCTCACCTTAAAACCTGGGAAATGTGACCTAACCTTATTTGACCTTTTCTTTTGAAAACTATATCCTCTCATTTATTACTAACAAGTAACAAATTCAGAGGTCACAGGTCAGACAATATAATATTTACAAAAAAAAAATATAATTCTTATATAAATATTTTCTGAAACCCACTATATATAATATTCTTTATATGGTACATCAATTGATCTTTTTTATTTTTATTTTTATTTTTTTAATTTTTTTGTGTAGGGTGTCATCAATTGATCTTATCTCAACAATTTTGACTTGCAAAATTGATAATGTACTCTAATTTTAATATAATAATTGGTATGAAAAGTATTATGCAAGTGGTGATGAGCATAACTAAGACGATTTGAATTGTGCAATTCACTGCGGGTTAATTTTTTTATTAATTATAATCGGATACCCTTTTTTTATTATTTTTTCTACACTGCAGGGAGTGCAGTTTGGTTATTACTTTTTCACATGTTCAATTTTCAGTCCTTTGGCTTCATTGCGCTTTTGGATCGAAGCTCACCAAGTGAATACAAATGCATAGAAAATTGAGGAAAAATTAAGAAATCGAGCCAACCTCTATATTTTGACGTGGTTCGGTTCGATTATTTTAGTGTGAAAAATTTTAATTTAATTTTAGTTTATA